TCAATAGATAGATAGATAGATAGATAGATAGATGAGAGAGATAGATAGATAGAAAAACAATGTAATAACTGTAGTTTTTAGCCGATGTATTTCGTTCAATGTTGTCCTTTTCAAGGTAAAACTCGAAATATATATATATTGAAACAAAGAATCTATAGACAACAAAGTAAATGTCGTTAGCCACTAGAAAAATTTAGAAACGTTTTTTTTATATTCATATGGTCAACTGAATAATTACGTTAATTATTTTATATTTGGAGACAATTTTTTCACATATAGAAATATTGTTTGTATTGTGTTGACGGATTCAATAATTTTCTTTTTATTTCTTGATATATTTCTTGTGTAAGTTGGCTTGGGAGAGAGGTGATTCTGTTAGGAACGATGATATTGTGAAATCCTGGACGCAGATTAATATTTGAATAATATTCAATGGCCGCACTCTCGAGGAATTTTCCTTCTGAGTGAATTATACATACTGACTTATTCTACAAGTTAATTCTGACAATTTTTTTACATAAATGAATATATATAAATATTTATATATAAATATTACGTTATATACGTAACAGTGGTGGTAAAATGACTAAAACCGAAATGCCGGGTTAGGACCAGTAGCATTGCATATTCTTCTTTGGATCAAATCCAAAATAGAATCGGAAATGTTATTTTCAGGAACAATGGCACTGTAGATACTTCTTTGGATTTTATCTAAAGAAGGACCAACAGAAGAAGCTCACTTTCCACCGATGTAGCGTAGCTTCCCTGTGACTTTTCTATAATTACTTTTGTGGTAATTGTTCTGATGAACTTGCCTTTATATTACCTAAAATGTATGATATTAAACTCAGTACTAGACTGGCGGCAAGTCCTGGTCATTTTACAGTTGAAGTATTCAGACCTAACCGTAAATGACATGCAAATAGTTTATTTTGTCACGCTTCCCGATTGTCACTTCCCGGTTAACCTTGATCTTCAATAACTTAAATGCAGTATCAACCAGAGCATTAATATTATTTTCTTAATAACTTTCCGGTGTACATTGATCTACTATGACTAACACACAGAAATATCGGACAATCGGCAATCTAATAATATATTACTACCAATAATGCATCATCGACCGCTATATACTAATAGTTGAGTCAACACACAGTATAAATGGCTTGAAGATTGCATTCAAATATGAAATAGACTGTCGCCACTCGTATTGAACGCAGTGTCCATTTTTATATTTGCATACGCTCAATCTCTGATATTGAGCATTTAACCCTTATATATAGCATAACTCAACATTATGTTTTATCATATATTAATAATATACACATTAAAACAGAAAACAGTTTACTAAAACGAAATGTTTAGAAAGTGCTTGAATCTCTTGATCCTGCAGAAGAAAAGATGACAGACTCTCTCTAGGCAATCGCTAGTTTAAAAGATTCCACTCGACCTCCTATGAATTGCCAGGTCACATCGATCCATCGTGCTTCCTTCATATTCCATTAGGGAGGAAGATGTTTCACCCAGACAGGTTCTTACTAAGAACTGTTGAATATGAAATAGACTTGGGAAAGCATGTTTTCCTAATAACTATAATCTTAAAATCTACAAATCATTGGTCAGCTGTTATCTATCCTCAATATCCTCATAGTATGCACCCCTTTTTCATTTCTCTGTACCAGACTAAAACAATCTTATTTGTAAAACTCTTCCCTGAGTGGCTACAGGGCTTTTTATTAAATAAAAGATAGTAAACAAAACACAACGCTTATATATGGATGTATATACAAAATTACTTATTTTTCTTCCGTATTTAGGTGGGGAGCGTGTAAACCTTATGATTTTATGATTAAACCTGAGGTGCTGCCATATCGGATAATCCCCAGGCGTTGAACTTATTCGCAAAATTAAAACGGTATATCTCGCAATATATCTCTAAAATGTTCCACATTTTTTTGCTTATTTTTGCCGATTCATATAAAAAATCAAAATTTAAAAAATGCTGTATCTGTTGCCATTTTCAGTATCCACGTTAGTGTATATTATATATAAGCAATAATTCTAATGATACTTGTTTCTTTATATCCCTGCAGGGCGTTAACAAATATGGTACTCCACAACATCCCATTCTTTTTAGCTTTCAGCTATCTATTTATATGCTTGCTATACGTCCTAGACCCTGTTTCGCCATCCATTTGCACAAAGTTGTTAATTTACTCCACATTTTTATATAATCGTTTTGGCTTCAATATGCCCTATGAGTCTCAGATTCTAAGTTTTTCTTCATGTTGCTCACATGTTTCATCCATGGTATTTTCACCATCTTTCTGTAGACTTATGTTTCTATTGCCTTATCTCCTATCATCGTCTGTCAATAAATACATTTCTATTGCCTCATCTCTCATCATCGTCTGTCAATAAATTGCCCAACATCAGTACCATATAGGAAGATTGGAAGTATATATCAGTTCAACACTATGTTCTTGTTTTCTAACGAAATTCTCCCGGTTCTTAGACATCGTTTACTTCGAAGATGGCACCTTTTTGCAATTCCAGTGCACATTCCGGTATCTCATTATTTGCTGTGTTATAACATTTCCCTGATAGTTAAATTTCTGTGCTTACGTGATTTTGACATCTACAATTCGTAGGGCTGTCTGTCTTGATCACGACCATTCATTCTGACATTCTGATGTTTAGTCCTTTTTTACCGCTTTTCTTTATTGATGTATGTAGAATTTCCTGTCCTTTTCTTTCTATGCATGTCACCAGTAATGTGTATTATCGTAAAACCTTTTTTAACGTTGAATGAAATACTTGGATTAAAAGTAAACAAGCAAATTATAGATAAGAAATGAATTCAGTAGATATACAAATATAGGAAGTGACGTAAGAGAAGAATATATACTAGATTTATACTACAGAGTGAAGCAATTCTGAGAGAATTAGTTGTTTGGTTGTTTTGTTTTATAGCATACTAGCAGCATGGCCAGGCGTTGCCCTTGCTTGATTCAAAAATAGTACGACTAATACAGCAATCGCTATCACTTGACTTAAAATATTTTTACCCTTCCTTGCCTTTAGAGGAGTGCCCTTTGCCGTGCTGATGTTGTTACATGCCTTACTTCTTGCCTATATCACACTGCCAACTTTTTCTAAGCTCTATAGTAAACATTAAATCTGTTACGAAAAAAGAACTAAACAAAATAAACACAATACGATTAGCTTTAAAAAACCGGAAAAAACATTTTTAAGGGTTGACCGATTGTCGAGTTGCACTCTGTTTGGGGGGGGGGGTATGCTCAGAGTTGAAACTTCACATGATGATTCCCAATGGCCTCTTCATAAATCCGCTCGGTTTTCGCTAAAAACCGACATGCGGTTCAGACGCAATCTGAGCATATCGGTTTTGGGGTTTTATCGATTTTCTGAGCTGTTTAGGGGTCCGTGGTCATGAAACTTCTGGACAACACTTCTAATGGTAGACTCTAAGAGGATGTCAAATTTGGTTGAAATGCGATCATTCCTTCTGTAAGCAGAATTTTTTCCATTATCGATTTTTTCGGAACCTGATTCCGAACTCAAAAATCGGGCTCCGTCATGTCCTTACGGCAGCCGTAAACTTGTGTTGAAAACCGCATCGAAATCGGGTGAAAAATGCGGCCTGGGCGAGGTAACAACGCCGACGACAGACTCACAGACAGACAAAATGAGAAATATAGATAGTAGAGAAGCAGGTGAGTGTTATGACATGGCCGCCCCAATCTCCTGACCTCAACACCATAGAAATCTTATGGAGCATGTTGCTCAACTGCTTTCTCGAGAGCTTTTATTTATAATGCTCTATAAGTCTCCTGACCTCAACCCCATAGAAAATTTATAGAGAACTATAAAGTACATAAAATACATAAGCTATTTGTAAAGGGATGCCAGCATGTCTTTTTATAGTATATTATGGAATTCTAAATGTATTAAGCTTATAATATTATATGAGGTGTATATAAAATAAACCACAAATAAAATGTTTTAAAAAAGTTAGTCTCAGCATCACTGTTCACGTATGGAATTTTCTCTACCCGCTGTCAATGAGACTCCAGGATTTGATGCACTTTACTCCAGAACACAAGTAGGACGTGTTTATATGTATATATATATATATATATATATATATATATATATATATATATATATATATATATATATATATATGCACACACACGCATATATATATATATATATATATATATATATATATATATATATTATAAATTAATTGGTTTAAAATATGGTTTTTTTTTCACACAGTTCAACCATGTTTTAAAAATAGAAGCTATTCTGCTCTGCTGCATTATATTGAAACGCTCATTTTTCAAGAAAAAACCCATAGCTACAACCAATAAATTAAAATTGTCAAATAATTACATAGCGCTTTCGTGCGTGTTTTATTCACACACACACACACACACACACACACACACACACACACACACACACACATATATATATATATATATATATATATATAAATATATATATATATATAAACCATTGCTGAACGTACTGGAAACATTATAACCTCTTTTTATCGATCACTGAAGTACATTGCTCATTTTGTCAGGCTTTGTATCTTCTGGGATCAGGTTAGACGAACGTTGGCGCTATTCGATGCTGACGTACCAAACATGACAAATTTCAAAGTATTTTGCACTCACTTGTGGTGAAGGGCTAATACTTTACACTACAGCCACTTCGCCACTACCATGTTAAATATTCAGATGAGTTGCGTTCGTTAATTCCTTCCTGCCTTCACATTTTAAAACACCCCATTCATACTTCTAAAGAGTCGAAGCACCGTTATTTCTTCCGCGATCCTCAGAAAAAAGTCCACTCAGATATTTTCCTCTCGAAATACCATTTTGCGCTATAAAATCCCGTGAATGTTCTAGCTTGACCATTTCAAAGTCAAGGAACGGTCCGTATCCATCTATCCACATAATCCTTATTTTGTAACACTTTCATTCTCATGACACATTTACTTTGTCATCTTGACGTTTCTATCAGGTTCATTCTACGAATACAAAAGCATACCTTAATTGTGATATTGAATTCTTACAGTATACGTGAACCAAACAAATAAATGATTACACGACGCATAACCTGCCTTGGAGAGATTTAAAATAGTTTTATATAAATGTACATCATAATCACACACAGACACACACAACACACACAACACACACACACACACACACACACACATATATATATATATATATATATATTCCGCTAAAAAAACTAAATAAAAGTAATGAAATTTCCCATGCCTGTCTTATTCAACAAAATATGTTTAAGAGAATGTTTGCTGCCCAAATGTACATTTTTATCACGACAAAGAGTTATCAAGAACAGTTTCTCGTATTTTTATTCGTTTTGTTCCCTCACAGATACACCCTATACGAAAATAATTTACAGACACATATACATACACAAGCGCGCGCACACACACAGGCAGATAGATGTATACGAAATGATCGATATATATATATATATATGTGTGTGTGTGTGTGTGTGTGTGTGTGTACATATAGATAGATAGATAGATAGATAGATAGATAGATAGATAGATAGATACGGGCAGACAGATTCAGATAGATAGATATATAGATAGATAGATACGGACAGACCGATTTAGATAGATAAATGCATGCTGGGATGTAGGCATATTACGTAATCATGTTGTATTTCAATATTCCATTGTTAATTCACCTATTGAATTTTCCTGTGTTTTTCTTCTGCCAATAATATTCCGTCCGTCACGATTTTCCCCTTCCTTCTTTCTGTATAATGTCGTCTTGTTATTTTCTCAGGATTTTGTTTCTATTCATATTGATTTCCACTTCGAGTTCCTCCCCTGATATTCCCTATTTTTTCTCTCTTTTTCTACTTTTACTCGTTTTTTTTCTCTGCTGCTTTACGTTAGATGAATCTGTTTAAATCTTTCCACATATGTTTATTTCTTGTCATTACCTTTTCCATCTGCTTTGTACGCTTTCTTCCCTACAGTGTTCGTTCCTTTAATTTGTATTAGCCAATATTGATTCGCTTTTCCCTTATAATTTTCCTTTTATTACCACAACGATTTACTCGCATTTTCTTTCTTTCTTTCTTTCTTTCTTTCTTTCTTTCTTTCTTTCTTTCTTTCTTCGCATCGCTTATGGCAGGCTTTTCTGTAGACAAGCCAGCAGCTAACAATGCCCACAAATATCGAATGATAAACAATCCAGGTAATTCACGTCATTTACTCACGTATAAAGACACACGGTTCGATTTGTGATTGATAAGACGCACGTCTGCAATTCTCACTCTCTGAAAACGGTCGCTTTGCTGGCGGAAAAATTTCGGATACTTACCTAAAAAAGGAAAAAAAAAGGGAAAAGTAAAGTGAATTTAAACAATAATGCTTCAGATATAAAACATAACAATCTTTATGCTACGACAAAAGAACAAAACAATAGGAATAAAATCCGAAGATTGAACAAACATATAAAAACAAAGAGAAGACAAAATATAGTAGGGTTATTCAAAAATGCGGAATGCAAATTCAATCAATAGCGAAAAGTAAATCAGTGAATAGTCGAAACTCAGAGATAGAGTGAATTCTGCTTTTTACTTTATCTTCTGTTTTATTTCTAGTCTTCAGTAGGATGTTGTCTGAGGTTTGTCGGCCTAGCCCGGAACAGAATGGAAAATATAAAATCGATATATAAGAAATGTTGTTTTTACAGTTGGTTTAAGTATAATATTTGGTTTTCCTTTAAAAAAGAAAAAAAGGAAGAAGAAGAAAACATGTAGAAAACAACAGAGATAAAATAAGGGAAAACCTAAGCATGAACTCAGGAGATACAACAGAAAGAAGTGGTAAGGACGAAGAGAAACGTTTGTGTCCACGAGAGAGTTTCAGTAAATAAAGAGTAGTGCAACGAAAAGATAGTGGGAGGTAGAACTGAATTGGAATGAAACGAAAAATCAGAGATTAAAAGTAAGCTCAGATGTTGAGAGCGGGAGAAAAGATAAAGAGAAAATATTGGAAATGAAACAAGAAAAAAAAGTTACGTAAATGATTTTAAGGAACAATAGATTATAAAAAATATATATAAAACAAAAAACAGAATTTTAAGTAAGCCAAGAATAAATTACAAAAATAGATAACATAAGCTAAAGTTATCCGAATGGTTCAAGCCAGAGATCGAAACCTGACCGATTTGGAAGCAGTCAGAGATTCGACACACAAGCTACAGTCACACGGAAAAACGGATGTGAAATCTTAGTACTTTTACTATGCCAAAACGATAGAGAGCTCGATTCGAATTGAAGAGGGTTACATTAGCAGCAGCAGCCTCTCTGTGGTATGTATATATATATATATATATATATATATATATATATATATATATATATATATATATATATATATATATATATATATATATATATATATATATTATGTATTTGTGTATCAATCACACTTTTATACAGGTTTAACTGGCAAGGCACTGCCATTAATTTTTTTATGACATTTTTCTTGGATTTGTACAAGTTCTTTCCTTTTTTTTATTATATAGCGTGTAGGACAATTTCTGAATTCACATGCAACTAACGGAATTTTGTTCTCGACGAAAATAAATTAATGAACATTAATTGGACAAACAATTATGTACCTATCAAGAAGACTTAGTTTGCATCTCATGCTTACATTAGTACCAATTTAAAAAATCACTGATACCTACCAACTGCCATCAGAAACATTCCTATTGCAATAAACGAAAATAAAAAAAAAGCCGATTAAGCAACTTGATTTCAACATGGACCAATCGTGTGAGCAACGATGAAGTCTTAGAGAGGATACAAACAAGGCGGAAGCTTATTCTTAACAAGAGGAAGAGGCAGCTGAAATTTCGGGCACACATAATGGGGAAGAAGGTCCTGATACTCTCGGGTCGAATATAGGGAAAGAGAGACAAGGAAAAGCAACGTCTGGCATACCCGGCGTGCTTAAGTAAGTGGATGACAGAACCTGGTCGGGGGGAGACAGAATGAAGGGACTTGTTGTAAGCTGCAAGGGATAGACGGAGGTGGAAAGCCATGATCACCTACGTCCTTAAAAGACATGACACATCAAATAAAAATTCTTTTCTTGTGCACTTTGATCAACATATCTGGGCAATTAGCTTTGATTTTTCTATCCTTCTTTCCATGGAAATAGATCTAAGAAAACAGAGGGATCTTTAAAAGATAAGAATGCCGATAACTCCTTCACCATGTCTCGGACTAATCTTAATTGTTTTATAAACCTTCACGCAGAAATTTTCACTGACAATTCAGGAAGACATTTGGGTCATTATCACACAAAAAAGAGAATGTCTCATATCGAGAATATTTAACATGGAAAACATAGGAAAAAAATTAATTATTTTTAATAATATATCGAAATCTCCATGATTTGCCTGATGAAGGTCACGGGGCAGGAAACCCGTGTTGCAAAATCATTAAAAATAAAGCATAATATATTTTTAAAAATCCACATTAAAACCAAAAAACGTTTGCCGTTTCTCTCTTCTTTTTACACACACACACACACACACACACACACACACACACACACACACACACACACACATAAATATATATATATATATATATATATATATATATATATATATATATATATATATATATATATGAATAAAAAAACACGCACAGGAGCGCTATGTAATTATTTTACAATTTTTAATCTATCCGTTGTAGCTATTGATCTTTTGTTGAAAAATGAGCGTTTCAATATAATGGAGCTAAGCGGGAATTGTTAGAAATGCAGAATGGCATTAAATGTTTGTTATATGCATTTCAATAGGTTACTGCTACACTCGGGATAAATTTTGTTGAGTGTTGGTTAATTGATTTTGATATAGATGAATGCAACTGATAAATTAACAATTTTAAAATAATTACAGTGCCTGTTTTCAAAAAACACCATCACAAAGGAAGGTAGATTTTATCGCAGTTACATTAAGTTTGTGTTTTATAATTTACTGCTGAAGTTGATCTTGGAAGAGATGGAAAATACTTGGGTTAGAAAAAACTACGGCGCCTTCCTCGATGAATTTCATCGTAACACCATGCAAATGATTAGAGAAATGTAAGTTTAAGTATAAAAATACATAGTCACATTATGTCTATATTATTCAATGAAACATGTTTTGAATGAAGACATTGCCTATATATATATATATATATATATATATATATATATATATATATAAAGATATATATATATATATATATAAATGCACCCCCCACACATATATATATATATATATATATATATATATATATATATATATATATGAATGAATCATTCATACAAAAAACAGATAGTGAAGTTAATGATATAAATGCCGAGAGTATATCTTCGCAAAACAAATTTAATAAATTACATTAACCCTGAACATATATATATATATATATATATATATATATATATATATATATATATATATATATATATTTCCCGTGTATGGAACTACTCAGCCTGAAATGGTGGTCAATCTAAGAGTGTAAAACTCATAATTTAACCTCTGCTGCGTTAAGCTCATACCCAAACTTATGAAAGACTTTGAGAGTAAATACTGAAGACAATCCCATATTATCATCAACTTCGTTCTGGGATCTCCCCAGACAACGCCTGTACCAAACAACATTTTCCCTTGTAAAACATCGGTGGTGAGTCTCACTACATGGGCAACCGTCGATCTCTTAACAAAACCTGCCCAGGCATGCGCCTTGCAGATGACAATCCAACGCTGCCTAACTGCGTCAAGAATGCACGGGGAGCAACAGTTTCCTGATGGGACTATTCCTAAGATACTTCCATATGGAGAACTAGTTACCTGCAAAAGAACACGAGGGTGACATCCCCTTCGCTTCAAGCACTTCTGCAAAAGTGAAAAGAGGGCGATGGACATGGGCATAGAGAGTTGGTAGACGTCGCCAATTTTCTTTCCCGTCGGAGACCCATTTAACACCGAGATTTGGAGAGTTGCACAAAGAAATGGAGGCTTTCCAACGGGATAAAATGTGCTCGAAGGACAGAAAAGAACATAACGACATCGAGCAGACCTTCAATCGAGACTGTTAATATCGTGTGGGTGTGTACATCCGTAACAGATACTGCGCCGCGATAGGAGAGGTTTAATTGAGAAGTAAGTACATACATACACACAAAAGCACACACAAGGAGACACACGCATATATATAAATATATATATATATATATATACATATATATATATAAATACACACACACACACACACATATATATATATATATATATATATACATTAAAGACATTTTCATTTTAACATTCTTTTTATAGATACAAGTATTTAAGTAAATGCTCTGTTTATAATAAACAGTATTAAATAACATTTACCGGCCTGAATGTCTGTAATAATTTGTCGGACTTTGTCCATATCTTAATATATATATATATAGAAAAAGTTTCAAATTAAAAATTATAATGTTTTATTTTATGAAAGTATTTATTTATTTATATATATATTTGATATTTCAAATTGTCCTCAATTTTTCATCAGAAATAACTGTTTGTTACAAATAAATTAAAATTACTGTTTCTATATATATATATATATATATATATATATATATATATATGTGTGTGTGTGTGTGTGTGTGTGTGTGTGTAGATATATATATATATATATGCCAGTGTGCGTCTGTGTGTGTGTTTGTGTATATATATATATATATATATATATATATATATATATATATATATATATATATATATATATAGATAGATAGATAGATAGATAGGTTTTTTAATATACCTAAATTTATATTATATTGTTTCAAAGTGATATGACGTTAATCCTAAGAAAGAAAGAAAGATAGAAAAAAAGAAAATAAAAGAAAGAAAGAAAGACTGGTCGAGACGGACAATGAAGAAAAGTAACACGAAAAAAAGAAAGAATGAACGAATGAAAATATAAAAGAAAGAAAAAAAATAAGAATAGACGTTTTTTAGCTTCACTGATTAGACGAGAACCAGTCTTCCAACGTGATATGGTTGAAAGAAAGAAAGAAAGAAAGAAAGAATGAAAAAAATAATAAAAAAGAAGTAAAGAAGAAAGCGACGGACAATGACGTCTACGAAATAACGAAAGAGGCGGACAATGAAGAAAAGCAACACGAAGGAAAAGAACAAACTAATGAAAGTTTCAAAGAAAGAAAGAAAAATAAATAAAAACTAGCAAAAACAGAAACCATCAAACCTAAAAAGAAAAAAGAAATAAACGTATGAATCAATAAAAGAATGGCAGAAAGGAAAAGATAGAAAGAAAGAAATTATTACACGTGAAGTGAATGAAAGAAACAAAAAATGCTAAGAAATAGAGAAATTACAAAACAGGAAATATAGAAAGGAAGAAAGAAGAAAATCATCAAATATCAAGAGAAACGGAGAAAAGAGACTAAAAATAATAGTAAAACTTCAAAAGAAATAAAGAAAGAATGGTCGAAAGAAAAGGAAACTTATATAGAAGGAAATTCTGAAACAAAGAAAAAGAAACGATTAAAATCAGAATGATAAAGAAAGAAAGATGGGTAAGAAAAACCAAAAAGAATAAAATCTTGAAAGCAGCAAAAGACTGCCTGATGCAAACAAAGGAAGACATAAGGTTTATCAAATGTTAAATAAATGGAAGGAAGACTGAAGACAAAAGGAAAATACAACAGAATGAAATGAATTAGAAGTAATCGATTTCTTTTTATTTGTAGAAACACAAAGGAATATTTCCCATAAGATAATAAGCGGCTTAGAATGGAATACAACTAAATAACGAAAATCATATAGAAAGCGAGGCTATTTTTTTTTGTTTAATATACTGAAATTACGAATGAAACGTTAAAATATTTTTTAAATATCAAATAAAACAACAAACAAACATAAATATATAAAAAAAGAAAACGGGAAAAATTTAAATGAATTTTTAAAAAATCAAATAGCCTAATACTTTTATCGAGCTTTTTAGTTAATCAATATACCTTTAAGGCAGCTGAAACAGAATCTATATAATAATATACATAATCTGAATGTACGTCAAAATATTCACTTAACTGTCTCTCTATCTAAGTCTTTTCTAAAGAGTGATAAAGACGAACATAGGGTAATAGTAACGATAATAGTTGAACTTTCTCTACAATGAAACATTTGACATTCATTGTCCGAGCAGCCAGTACTGCCTTCGGTTGCATTTCTTAAAATAATTCACTTAAAACATTTTTTCGATAAAAACAGCTTTCTTACATCTAATAGCTGTTAACGCTCTCTTCCCAGTATTGAGCATGGTTTCTTTCCTAGCTTTTTATTTGAAGTAGTGTGGAATGTCAACATCTTGATTATGTCATTATTTTATCTTCCAGTTACATGTGGTACCCTTTTTAGTTGCTGCAGCTGTCGTAGTCCTCCAGAGATCTGGCACAGTTATTTGTGATTCTGTAGCGCCAGATCACTATGTTCAAAGAAAGGCTTCACTCGTTCAAATGCATAAAGCCTACAGCTGAAGGTTTAGATATTTCTAAACGGGTTTGGGGTCATGCGTGACATCCATATGAATGTCTTTATCGGACGAGGCCGTTTAAGGACATGAACTGTCGATTTTTTGGTGATGGACAAAACAACTTGTCTATTTTATTTTCAGTTTTCTTTTCTTCTATATTAAACTAAATTTGCTATATCTGATTCATACGTCGAGGTGTCTGAATGGTTTATGTGACATGCGTGATACTTTCGATACATGACTGACGAGGCAGATTATTTATACCATTCCCAAGGGTAATAGTATGTAAATGAATATAATGGATTCCTGTACTGTATCCATTATATTCTACCTGATTCGTACAAAGAATATCTTCGTAAAATGGAGAGTCTTTAAAACATGAAGCCATAGGATCAACGTTCTAATTTTTTGTTGTTCATAGAGATAAATCAGATTTATTTAATCTGAAGAAATGATAACAAATTAAACTTCTTTTTCTGCCCCTTGACGACGTAATGATCATTATTAAATTATTATTTTATTTCAAAAAATAACAAATGATGTAATGTATTAATGAGGTTTCAGGAAATTTTAAGTGAAACGTGTTTAAAGAGGTCTGCAATAAAATTATCGACGTTTTCTTTTTCGAATTTTGTTTTTTGTGTTCAACATCTTGTGTTAATTGATACTTGAACAATCGAAATCATTTCCTTGATAGTTACTGATGTTTCCGTTTTTATTGCTGTTTTGTTTTCTTCTTCTTCTTCTTCTTATTATTATTATTATTATTATTATTATTATTATTTCCATGGATTTCTGTTTTATACTCATTTCCTGCCGGGTTCTAACCAGATACTTAAATTTAGAAATGGTTTCCTGACATTTTCTATTGATCATTTTTTGTAAAAATAAAAACAAAAGCACCTAAGATCACGGACATTTTGCATACAGTTCTTCCTAATAAGTTCGCGGAAGACCTAAGGCAGGGTGGTGTGTTGTATGAGTACAATTTTGTAATTTTTAACGTTCTCCATGGGCTTCTAGGATGTCTCTTGTTGGGGTTTCCATTCTTTAATGTGTTGTTTTGTTCCATATCCATCAGAACTTGTTTTTTACAAGGTCTTTGTATTTTGATAGTTTTCAAATTCCTTGGTTGTTATGTTACAATCCGATGGCTTCAACGCCAACAGGAATTATTGATATCCTCATGTTTGCACATTGTCCAGTGTAAGTAACTTTTGAGATTTTATATTCATTTGGGGCAAGTATAAGATGAGATTTTTATTGTTTTTGGGGAGTTTTAAAGATATTTCTGAAAAATACTATTAAAATCTTGCATAGACTGTCAGTTTCAGACTTTAATAAGAATATCAACATTCTGTTTTGTGATCTTTGGTCATTTTATTATTATTATTATTATTATTATTATTATTATTATTATTATTATTATTATTATTATTACTTTTTTTTTTGATTTATGGCGTTTATTTACATTTCTTTCCTGGTCCCGCCCATGGACCTAAGGTTAGAACTGGCATCATGACACTTTCCACTGTCAAAAGAAAAAGAAATGATATGGATAAAGCCCTTCATAAAGTGTGGGCTGTACTTTTCAGAACAATTTATTATTATTATTATTATTATTACTATTATTATTATCATCATCATTCGATTTCTGCTATGGACACACTACCTACCAAGTCTGCGGAAAGACCTAAGGCAGGTCGTGGTGTGTTGTTATGGCCACATTTCATGTTAATTTTTTTTTTTTTTTTTTTTTTTCCGATGAAGTTGCTAGCGTTACATAGACAAAGTTCTCCTTAGTGTGTGTGCTGTACTTAATAAGACAATTTTCTGTATGTCTCTTAAGCTGGGGGTTTCCAGGATTCTTTCAATGTGTTGTTTTGTTCCATTTTTTTATAATTCCAAGTGCACCTATTACCACTGGTATTATTCTTTGTTTTCAATTTCACATTTTTTCTATTTCAATTTCCAGGTCTTTTGTATTTTGATAGTTTTTCAAATTCCTTGGTTGCTATGTTACAATCCGCTGGACAAGCCATATCAATTAGTAGGCAAGTTTTTTCTTTCTGGTTTTTGACATTATTATTATTATTATTATTATTATTATTATTATTATTATTATTATTATTATTATCATCATCATCATCTGGCACGTTTTTCTCCATTCTGATCACATTTTCATAATAAATGTCACTGCACTGTATACAAATATTCAAAGTTCAACAGAGAGACACAGTGCGTTACTTCTAGGGACATGCCCAATTGGCAAACAAATATGTTGTATTGAACGAGATATTTACTGTAGCTGGTCTTATTTCAACAAATCAAACGCTTGCATCTTAACACCTCCAATCAATTAAGTTCCGAATCCACCAGTGACAGGCGTTGTGTAGCATCACAACATTTCTTATTGCCATCTATTATTATTATTATTATTATTATTATTATTATTATTATTATTATTAAATAGATAAGAGTATGCTAGAAAAGCTTCGCTGGATTACAAGTATGGGAAACCTATTGCACCCATCTCAATACACATTGTGATAAGGGTGTAACAGGTATATATATATATTCTGCCAAACATGTGTTATCAAGAGGTATTATATGTATTATATGGCGCGAGGTATAAATTTAAATTTACCCAGTTCGTTCAAGCTGTATCCAATACTTTTAGGCCTATAGTTGTTCGGAGCAGGAAAGATATTCACGATCACATTCCAATATCTACAGTTTTTTTTTCCATCATTTATTTATCCAATTAATTTGTCTGTTTTTCCCTCCCATATTTTCAAAAGATCACACTATAAATCCTCGTAATTCTCGAGCTTCTCTTTTGCTTTGCTTTCAGTTCTTGTATGAAATGAACCGCAGATTTCTGTCAGATAACAAATATTACATTTTCATTTGTCCAGGAGAAAACTATATCTGACCAGTTGCACATCGAAGTCTGTATCGGAATGGCCGACACAGATTTCATTTTGCTATACTTAAGGCTAACTATGAAAGCCAAGGTAAACTATGGAAGAGTCTAAGTGATGTAATTTAGTGCCTAATCAAGGGAAGTTAGTAAATGTTCCTATTGCTGCTGCTGAATTTAAATTAGTCCAAAGAATATATTTGAACCATCTTAAATTAAAAAAAAATTGAAAACATAACGATAATTATTTGTAAATGAATGTTGCAAAATAATCATTATATTCACCTTGATAAGGTCCATTGGAGGACGAAACGCGTTGGTAAAGAAAGATTTTTCTTTTGACTTTATTCATAATGTCTTTTTACAGATACATTTAATTTATATTCGAAATTTTACGCATAAATCTAACCAAAGCACACACACACACACACACACACACACACACACACACACATATATATATATATATATATACAAAACATTTGACACACTCAAGTAATACTATATATATATATATATATATATATATATATATATATATTTTATAAATTGATTTATTTAAAATATGTTTTTTTTCGCAACACAATTCTAACCATATTTCAATTGCAGAAATGTGCAGCGAAAAAAAACATATTTTAAATAAATCAATTCATAATATTAATGCTCTGTAAATTTACATTGAGCACTATTTTTTAAAAATAGAAATATCTATAAGAACACCGGATTATATATCTTACTGTTCTTTCTATATATATATATATATATATATATATATATATATATATATATATATATATAATATCGCACCTTGAATGCTGGTCGATGTAACATAACAGAGTTATTAAGTATATCTTAATAAATATTGTGTTGTACATGAAACTCCGAGACGTGTACCTGGTGAGGAAAATATAGTACTATTATAATATAACAAATTAGTATTAACCAAACGATTTTGGTAATATCTTCCACGTTTTCTTTTGTTCGCGATTCAGTCAGTTATGTGCCACGCGTAATACACGTTTAGGCGATGATGTATGTTTCGATATATGAGTGACGAGGCTGTTTTTTTCCCCACATAAGTTGCCATTTCTTTCTGCGGTTTACCAGTTGACATCCAAGATCTCTCCTGCTATTTGCACATAGTTGGGGTGGAAGAATAGGATTCATACCTTTCTCAAGGGTATTAACACGT